GACCTCCCAAAGCTTTCATAACTCAGCTGGAACCGAAAATTAGACAGCCACAGTCACCAAAATATCATTTACTCCCCTTTTAAAGGGGCATTGGAGAAACCTGAGCGAGTATTTGGTGTCCTCACAGAAAAAACACATTGTCCAGCAATGTTTTATGCGTGTGTAGAGAATGTAAACCATCAAAAATATGATTTTTCATGGTAATTAAAAAGCCTCTTCAGACAAGCAATTCCTACAGCTTTAATTCCCAGAAATAGATAAAATTTTGAGGGAGAAGAGGAAGAAAAAGCAAAAGGAGCTGGTGGCTTTAAGGGCAGCAGTTCAGAGGGGATTCAATTTAAATGCGAAAGGTTCCACAGCAAAATTCACTGTACAGATTCTCTCCATCACAAATTCATCAACACAACAGGGAAGTCCAACATTGCCACCACAAAAAAAGCTCTGCAAAAATCAGAGTTCCACTTCTGGAGCTGTTTAATTGACAGGAACCAGCCATGGAATGGTCAGGGTTAAAAACCTACATTTTATAGCATTTTTGTGGCAGATATTTCTGAATTACTGTGCAAATTTCAATACTAATGCTTGGCCTGCTGGGCTGTGAGCACACACTGACAGCTCAGTTTTCCATCAACATAAAATAAAATAAATGGGCTCAATAAATGGAGATTTGCATCAACATAAATAAAAAGGGAGTTTTCAACATAGCAAAGGGCAACTTTTTTATTGACTAGAAGTGATAAATGTTAAAAACAGCCAAACCTGATGGTGGAGTGCCCATCCCTGGAGGTGTCCAGGGAACAGATTCCATAGAGTTCTGGGTTCCTCCTGGAAATTAGCAGCTCCAGAGGTGGAATTGTGTCATTTTGCTTTTTGTTTGAAGGCACTGTTGGATTACCTGTGGTATTGCTAAATCTGTGATTGAGAGATCTGCAGTGTAACTCTGGTGGGACTGGATCTTGGAAACCTTTTCCAACCTAAATAATTCTGAGATTGTGTATGATTTAATTAGTAGAGTTTTGCTGGAATTAGGAATTTGTGATGGAAACACTCCATGCCTCCCCCACACTGCTGCTCCAGGCTTTGAGGGCTTTTCTTGTTGCTTTAGGATTTTTTTTTTTTTTTTTAGGATTTAGGATTTTTTTATGCTTTTCTAATTGATATTTCACCCCAAGGAGAAGAAAATTCTCTGTTCAGAGTGGGAATAGCTCAGTGATGTCCTTTCCTTCTCCCCATCCCACTTTTGGGGATCTCAGGGACCCAGGACAGCAAATAAAGAGCCAGAGCTGCTGCCAGGAAAAGCCAGCTGGGACCACAGGAGCTTTCAGAAAAGCAGAAAACCCAGCAGAGTTTTCCCTTTTATCACCCCAGCAGCAGGAAAGGAGCTAAACCCAAAACCCTGAGAGCTCTGCAGCAGGTGAAGTGCCCACCCTGGAATTTATTGCCTAATAAGGGTTAAAAACACCCTGACCCAAAGCTGATGGTGCAGTGGCTTCAAGGGTAATTTTTATTTTATTCTATTTTTTTGTAATTTTTAAAATTTGTTTTGGTAAATTTTATTTATTGTATTTTATTTCCTATTAAAGGTAACCTATATTTTATTACTTATTAAAGGTAACCTGCATTTTATAACAACTTACCCCTGTATAAATTGAGTTTTTCTGCCATCTCCAATTTATATTTTAGCAAAAGAGCAAAACAATGCAAGGGCTGCAAAGATGCAAACTCTGAGATATTTAACCCAAATATCCTGGGAATTCTGCTGCAGCTTATGAAATGTCCATCCTGGAATTTAAAAACTCCACTTAACCCCAGCCAGACTGCAATTAATATTAATGACTTGCAGGCCAAGTTCAGCTCAACATTAACATTATTATAAAATACTACACACTCCAAGATTCCCTGTTTGATAGCTGAGAAGCATGGAAAACTCTTCTTCATGAAATTTAAATGGACTCATTAATAAAATATAGAGGATGTGCTACTTTAAGGCAGGAGGAGGAGAAAAAAGAAGTATAAATCGGTGATAACGTTATTTCTATTTTTAAATCCATCCCACAGAGTCACCCAAGATAGATGAGAAGTGCTAAGCCCATCCCACGAGCTTATTTATTTATTTAATACTTCTTACATGCTATTTTTAACAGCAGAAGCCAGCAAAAGGCATCCATTAGAAAAATCACAGTGGTGAGAGTCTTCCTTACACCAGAGGAGTGACAGATCTGGCTGAAAGCAGCCTCACAAGAGATTTTAAATTTTTTTAAAATTTTTTTTCCCCATTTCTCCCCTTCGCTTTGCTGCAGGATTTTGGAATAAAAAAGCAATTTTATTTTTGCAGCATCAGCTAAGGCTGAATCTCTGTGTGCCAAATCTGTATTTGTCAGCCCTTCCTCAGTCCCCAGCCCCCTCCTCTCCCTCCTCCAAGGTTTCATTTTCTCACCAACCCATGGCTTGAACAGCCAAATGTGGATGCAAGGCTTGGGTTGGGCTTTTAATTTATTTTTTTCTTAAAGCCTCTTGTTGTACACACAGCAAATAAATGAAAGCAAACACCACAGCCCCTGGCACTGCAGCATTTTGTAGAAGAAAAAAAACAGTGAAAAAGGTTGATTTTTTTTTTTTTCATAGACTTAAAGGAATTTATCCAACAAATGTTGGGTTTTCTTGGGGAAATGTTTAGATTCCCACCAGGAATACAAAGTGGCACATCCAGGGATGGGGATCCAAATCTCCCTGGGCAGTTCCAAGGCCTGAGCTCCCTTTCTATGGGGAAATTCCTGCTGATGTCCACCCTGAGCCTGCCCTGCTTCAGCCTGAGGCTTAATTTTCATCCAGACTTTTCTACAGAAGACAGAGCCTTAAAAAGATCCAGAGGAAAAAAACCCAAAAAAAACAAAACAAAACAAAACAAACAACAAAAAAAAAACCCCAAACCCCATTAAAAAAACCCAAAACGAAAAAAAAACCAGAGAAACAAACTCCCCAAAAATCCCCCAAAAACAAACAAAAATCCAAAAAACCCAAAAAACCCCATAAAAAAGGGATAAAAGTTGAATTGCAGACACCACAGCTGCATTTCTTCACAGCTATTTTATTTTCCCTTCATCCCAAATTTTTCCCAAAATGAGCTTTTTGTGAACAAAGCCCAGAGGCCGCTGGTGTCACTCAGAGCAAGGAGAGTCTGTTTGTCCTTCCTCCCTAGAGAAAAGCTCAGTTTGCATCCCTGGGTCCCCAAATGGAAGGATTTGATCCATAATCTCCTCATCCATGGCACTAACAATGCCTGATGAGTCAGGAATATTTGGATTTCTTGAAGCAGCAGCTTTCTCTGGACTGAGAAGGTCACGTTGCATGGAGAACTTTGCAAACTGATGCCCAAAAGTGAATAAAAAAATAAATATTGCAATTCTGTGGGTGGAAAAATCCCCAGTTACCTCCACATCCCAGATAAAAATTCTAAATATTCTCTGTGTTTGGAATTCAGCCTCAAGCCAAGCCTGGCTTGGGCAGCAGAGCCTCTGAAAGAATTTGATTTCTGAGTTATTTCTGAGATACTCTGAATATTCTGCATGTGGGCATTAAAAAGCAGATTATAACCTGCCAGCAGTAGGCAGGACTCGAAGCAAACTGCTGGAAAAACAGATTTAAGAGTTCACATCCATTTTTTTCCCCCAAATCTGGGAGCCTTGAAACAGCACATGACACATCCTCTCTTTTCCTGAGACTCACAAGGGACTCCCCCTGTGACCCCAAAGCCAGACTGAGCCTTCCAGGCAGGATGAAACTGCCTCAATTTTGGATTTATTCAACTCCTCCCTCACAGTTCCAAGCTGTTCTGCCACTCTAACACAGACCCAACGTGCCAAACACCTTCTCTGCAGGATCTGATGCCATAAATTCAATGTTTTCTCCCTCGTGTGACATCTGAATGCACAACCCAACGCTGCCAAAACAGCTCATTAATGGGGGCTCATCAAATTCATTACAGAATTCATATCCCCCTGGCTGCTCCTGCCTCCAAATCCTCATTTTTTAAGAGAATTATGTTTTTATCAAGTTTTTGTATTGTCAGAACCAGAGTCAGACCCGCACAGAGAAGAACTTTCCCACATTAAAGACAATTTTTGAGGGCTGCAACCTGATGTGAGGAAGACACCACAGTGAAAGGTCACCTGTATTTTATTCCAGCATCCCTATATATAAATTGAGTTTTCCTGGCACCCACAATTGATATTTTAGCAACTAAAAACAATGCAGCAACTCCCTTAGGTCTGCAAAAATGCATTTTCTGAGTTATTGTTTCCATTTCTCTGAATGGTGACTTCAAATGATCAGTAATTTCTTTCCAGCCCCTCTCACTGTATTTCTGTTAGGAATACAGGGAAATGATTTATTTCTGAGTTGTGGAGTGAGGGAAATAGAGCTCAGAAAACAAATCAAACCCACCCAGCAGGATTCAGAATAACAAAACAAAGGGGGAAGTACCCAAAATAAGAGCTTGCAGTTTATTTCACACAGGATCTAACAGCAGATTGCCAGCTCCAAATTTTTGGGAGATTTTTTCAGGCTCTTGAGAAGAGAAAGTTAAAAAAAATCCCAACAGTTCAAGTGCCAAAGACACTCCTAAAATCAGGAGGGAAAAACAATCTACTTCCTTTCAAAGAGAAGCTGGGAAAAAAGTTATGAAAATGGTGCCTTGGAGCATCCAGGTGTTCCAAGAGATTCCAAAAAGTCCCAGATGCTGCCTGGAAAGATCAGACTCAAGCTGAGTGTTCCCATGGACCACATCATCCATTCCAACGGCAGGAACTACCAAAAAAAGCAGATTTTCTTGGTCCCTCTCTATATAATACCATTTTTCTCAGAAACTCCGAACAGGAGCACACCCACATTGAAACCCAGGTATTTTAAACCATTCCATCCACTGATTTTTGAGGGTAAAAACATTGTTATTTTAACCTGTTCCCCTTTGGAGAGGCCACATCCTCGTGAGCTGCACCTACCATGGGGTAGTGTTATGTTTGCACCATCAATGATTGCTTGTGCCAGTTCGTGGTCGTTGCTCTCAAAGGCGTGGGCAGCAGCCTTGAGGGCATCCCAAATCTCCTTCCTGCCCTCGAAGGCCGGGGCTGTGTCCCAAAATTCATCCCTCTTACTGCGGAGCTGCCCGTCCGTCATGGGGTAATCGCTCTTCCATTTGGGTTTCTCCTTCTTCAGGGGCTGGTTACGACCAAGAGCCACTGTGGGGGACAAAGAAAAAAAGGGAATTAATCAAAATAACACCATAAAATTCCCTTTGGTTGCTTTGTTTTGGATTTACAGTGATGCCTCAGGTTTTGGCTTTTCTATTTTTCACACTCTGTGCTGCTTTAGTGGGTGGGTCTGGGATTCATTTTAGGGGATGCTGAGCTCTCTGCACAGAGCAGGGAGACAAAACAATTCCTGCTCCAGCTGGGCACCAAGGACAAATGATCCAAATCTCAGCCCAGGAGCACAAACACCGTGGGCTGGAGAGAGAAAAACAAGCAGGATGGGACTGCCTGGGCTAAAGCTGGAATGGGACAATGAACTCCAAGGTGCCAATGGAGCAGAAGTGATCAAAGTGAGAGGCCCTGTGAGCACTCGTGCATTTTGGGACCATTTTGGTTCATCTTGGGTTCATTTTGTGCCATTTTGGTTCATCTTGGGTGCAGCCCTGGCTGGGCTCTGGTGCTGCCCAAGGTGGATCCATTGAGGAGATCCTTTTAATAAATCTCTGCTTTATTCTTTAGCTCTGTCTGCTCTCTGTTCCAGCTCAGCCTTCCCAAGGCATCACCAGAGCTCAATTTGCAAGCCTGGTCCTTTTTGTTCATCAGCTCCCAGGTGATGCAGTGAGATGAGCATTATTCATATAATGCTCATGGTTCAGAATTTCATTTCTTGAGGGAATTATGTTTTTACCAGTTTTGTATGGTCAAAACCAGACTTGGAGTCTCCTCGATTTTCCCAAGAGGCCAAAGCACCGTGGAGCTTAGGAGAAGGGAGGTGATACGGACGTGGGCCATGCAATTATTGTTTGCTACTTTTAATTAGGAGCTGACTTCGTTTCTGTGCAAATGCATCCTCCTGCTTGCTGATTTCCCCTGGAAATCCAGGAATCCATCAAGGTTTAAAGAGCATTTCCCTCTTTCTCAATAAACACAAACCCATTTTTTCCCTTTAACTACAGCTATTTTTGTGTAACAGCCACTTTGAGGTTATCACACAGGTAGAAAAGTTGTCAGATTAAAACTCCTTGCTCTCATCCCCATCAGTGCCTGGTGCTGCAGCAGGAGATTCCAAGTTCACAGAGGTTTTAAGAAGACCAAAACCCCACAGGAGGTTAAGCCACACACCTTTATTCAATCTGACCCCAAAGAATGATGAGCTTCCTTTGCCAGCTCAGGATGACAGACACGTTCATGAACCTGAAGTGTAAGTCATGGAAAAGAGGAGTTTGAGAAGGATTCCTGCTGGTGAGGTGACACTGCCAACTATGCAGAGAATGAGCTTTCTTTGGATTAAAAAACACGTGAGAATGGTTTGGGTTGGAAAGAACCTTAAAGGTCATTTAATTCCACCCCCTGCCATGGGCAAGGACACCTCCACCACCCCAGGGTGCTCCAACCCCATCCAACCTGTCCTTGGACAGTGCCAGCGATGGGGCCACACAGCCAAGAATTTCTTCCCAGTATCCAATCTGAACCTATTCCCTGTCAGTTTGGAGCCGTTCCCAGTATCCTGTCACTCCATCCCTTGGAAATCCCCTCTCCATCCTTTCCTTTCTCTCCATCTGCAGCTCCTTCAGGCACTGGGAGGCCACAGCTGTGTCACCCCAAAACTTCTCCTCTCCAGGCTGAACAATCCCAGCAGAGCTGCTCCATCCCTCCAGTCCTGGTGGCTCCTCTGGAGGATGCATTTGCACAGAAACTGAAGTCAGCTCCTAATTAAAAGGAGCAAATGACAATTGCATGGCCCACATCCACCGACTCCAGCTGCTCCTCCGTGTCCCACGCAGAACCCAACAATAATAAACTTCTGAATCCTTTCAAGTGACCACAAGCATTTATTGCTTTTTGTTTCCACGGGATTGCTTCCATGGGACTGCTTCCATTTGCCTTTCAAAGGAGTGCTGGCCATTTAGCAGATTGCAGAGCAGCAAACCCCAGTGTTTACAAAACACCAAATTTCCTGGCAGAGCCCAGCCTTTCCCAGTCCAAGGCTCAGCTGAGCACACCAAGCTTGGGCGATGATGCTGGGGCAGCCTCAAGCAATGGGCTTGTGCATGAAACCCTGTACAGTCTAAAATTCTAAAAACATATGTGGGAAAAACACTCCAACAAGGAATTGTTTCCTTATTAAGGCTCAGCAGCCAGAGCATGACATTTTCAGCCAGACAGAACAGGACAGACTGTAAGAAATTTGGGTCAGTGGATATATTTTTTTTTTCCATCCCACTTTAGCTCACATCTGTTTGCACATCCACTCAATGGATGCAGATTTGTCCCACAGGGGCCTCTCCTTGTCCCCAAACATCAATTATGGAAGCAGGTTAAAGGCACTTCCCGCAGCCCCACTGCAAATCCAGCAGCCCATTCCTCTCGCTGCTTCCCACTCTGCCCCAGACAGCACCCAGATTTATTGAAAATTGATTTATCCTCACTCCAGCAGAGGCTCAGATCCTCACAGCCTCCAGTAACTCCTCCCTGGAGATCCCATCCTTCCTACACAGACAGCAGTGATGATAAACCCGGTGATAAATGCTCTTTTTTTCCGAGTGGGAAGGAAGGGTGGTGGAAGAAAGTGACTCTCCCAATGGCTCAAAAGCCAAATCCACTCTCACAAGCCATCCATCCCAGCACTGAGCCTTTAAACACAACCTGGCTTCAGCACAAGCCAGTATTTAAAAAGATCTTTGGCGTGTTTATCATTTAACACAAGTGCTTCAAGGATCCCCAAAAAGCTTTATGCCTTCCCTGAAGAAATATTCATTATTTAGCTCTGTGGATAGATGGGGCAGAAAGGATGTGAGAAACTTATGCCATGTAAAAAAATAATGTGTAAAAAGGCCCAAATATTTCTCTTTCCAGCCCATGTTTTAGTCACTAAAGCAAAACATGTGAATTTCTACAACCAAACTTTGGGACCACATCAAAGGACTTTCCCTTTTCTGTTAACAAGGCTGATAAAGAAACAAACATCAACAGTCTGAACCACTTAAAAGTATTTACAGTGTCAGTTTTCTGTTCCTGACTTTGGAAGGAAATTAGAGCTCAAAAGGAAACGTTGACTTCATTTAAGACCATGCACATCAGAGGCACCAGCAGCTTGCAGGATCCAGAAGAGAAAGCAGCATCCACATTAATTTTTCATCTTACATCACTTCAACATGAGTAAGAAATTATTAATACCCTGCTCGAAAGCATGGATTGTTTTCTAAATGCCAAGAAGAAGGCACGTTCTCTCTGAAGCAATTCTCCAAGTCACCCTCTCAGCAGAGGCCAACGGTTGGTATTTTTGGCAAGGGATTTATTTAGAAGGGAATATGGAAATCAGCACTGGTCTACTTTTCAAAAAGTGAAATATCAGCAGCCACGCTCCAAAATGAGCTCGGTTGTTGTTCCTCCAGCTCAGGCGTGCAGGTGGTGCTGGGCACCCCAAAGGGGGGCAAAAAATCCCCAGAATTGAGTTTGGAAAAGCCCTTCCAGCCCATCGAGCCCAGTGCCCCATCCCCACCTTGTCCCCAGCCCAGAGCACCGAGTGCCACCTCCAGGAATTCCCTGGGCACCTCCAGGGATGGGGATCCAAACCTCCCTTCCAACACCTGCTTGGAAAGGTGGTGATGGATCAAAGACTGGATGTCGGAATCTGAGGTATTGATGATTCTGAGATTGTAGAAAGTCTCTGTCTGTCAGCCCCGCTGCCAAAGAAGAAGTTGTAATTAATCTGTGCTGGTTTCAAGGGTGTTTATTCTGTTTATCTCTAACATGTTCTGCTGCCCTGCCGCAGCTCTGTCCTGCAGGGCAGCGTGTGGGGCTCTGCCCTCAGTGGGATGGTACAAACATTAAATACCACAAACTACCTGTGCTGGATTTACAATAATGTGCCAATATCTGTCACCTACGTTGGACAGTGTGTCCCCAGCCTGAACCAACAGAAAAATGCCAACACCACAGTGAAACATGGAGGGCATGAAGAAGGAGAAAAAGGACAAGGCACACCCAATTTCCTCCATCTTGTCCCCTTTGGACCCCTCATCTAGAATCCTAAAATTTTACTTTTGCACCCGTGCCACACTTAATTATTACTGATAGCAAACACTCAGAGCTGGTAATTCATCCTGTAAGATTGAAAACTCTTTTCTATGGACAGAGATCACAGCCAGTGTCTCTGGGGGCTCTGTCCAGGGGGGTTCCTGACCCCTGCCAGGGTCCCAGACCTGCCAGGGCAGACAGAGGGAAGCCCTGGACTCCCACAACTGGACACAAACTCTTGGTTCTTTTCTAACCCTAAATATTCTGTTTAATGCCTCAAAGTGCCCCAAAGCAGTGGCACACAGTAGGATACAGCAGCATTACTTGGTCTCCCTTCACAGACAGACTCCTACCCTGGGATCCTCGAGGCAGCTGCTCCTGTCTGCCCCACTGAACTCCTGGCAAGCTACAAATCTTGTTTTTCAGAAGGAAAAATGTATTTCTCCAATCCTTGCAGACTGTTTTATAACCTGAATTGTAAATTTATTTCCCTTCCCCGCAGCTTGCCATCAAAGCAATGAATCTGTAAGGTTATCTCTGCTCCTTATGCAGATAAACCCAGATATTTAAATCAGTTTCTTAACAGAATGTCAAGAAATGTCTCTGTGGAAGTTCTCTGGAGCAGCTGGTGTGTTTGTTATGTCGCTATCACTGTGGATATCACTGTGGGTATCACTGGTGCCTCTTCTGAGGGGGACCAGATGAGCAGGAGCAGCTGCTGCCACAGGATTCTTGTATTAAAAGCCAATATCCAGCTACACAACCCATAATTCCTAATTTAACCCCCACAAATTACAGTGCTCCATCATCAAATTGGGAATATTTCAGCCTCAGAGGGTTTTTGTCAAATCAAACGTGGCCAAGCTGAGAGCTCTGGAGAAGGGCAGGATCTTCAGGTGTGACCTTCATCTTCCTCCTGCCCAGTTTCTGTCCTGCCAGGTAACCCTGGATGAGACCTGGAACAGCCC